TATAGTCCCAGCTACTTGGGGAGGCTGAGGCAAGAGAATCGCTTAAGCCCAGGAGTTGGAGGTTGCTGTGAGCTGTGATGCTACAGCACTCTACCGAGGCAATAAAGTGAGACTCTGTCTCTAAAAGAAAAAATTTTAAAAACAAGTAAAATAAATTATAATAGAGTACCCTGTGATATCATATCCTAGTTCTTTATGTTCTTATGCTGTCTTTGAAAACTTTTAAGCATGAAAATACTTCTATGATTCCTTTATTTTCAAATAACACTACATAGCTCAAATAAGAAATTTAATTTAGAAGATGATACTTTCTGTGTGTGTATATATATGTATATACACAAATATATACACATATATTATTCCTAACATATACATATACCAGGGGTGCTAAAAAATGTGTATACATTTTTAAGAGTTATTGTTGGAAGCAAAATCAATCACTCCCCCAAAGTGTACCAATTGCAGGTCAGATGGATGTACATAGTATGTCTTATGACACTTGACCCATAGTGGTACCTTCAATTCAACTTCAAAAAGTAGTACATTGCTATCTTTTAAAAAATGGGTATATGTTTTTTGGCACCCCACCCCCCGTGTGTGTGTGTGGAGAGAGAAAGAGAGAGAAGGATTTCTAAGTGCAAAAACAGAAAGTATGTGTGGTACATAGGTCATCATGAAAGTCTTGAGTTACACAAAAATTAAGAAACATAAAATTTGCACAGACAGAAACAAATGAAGCCCTCTCAGCAACACTAAGAAGCTGAGCCAGGTGAAATCTGCTCAGGTGATTCAGAAAGGACACTGTCAGCTGTGTTCCTTGGAAGTGAAATAATGGACCATAACACAGTTTGTCTCAAAACTTTTGCAGCGATCCAGGTATTGTGCGATTTACAGAAAGAAAAAGAGTAACATATATATAGTATTGGCCTGTATGCATACAAGTATCTCTGGAAGGATTAACAAAATATCAATACAGTGGTGCCTGTTGCAATGGAAATTGGTAGATGAGAAACAAGGGTTGAAGGGCCTTTTCACTTTTGTATGTCTTTTCACTTTTGTATGTCTTTTTACTTTTTGATATTTGAACTATTTAAAAATCACATGTTTTCTAAAGTTAAGTATGTTTTAAAAGTTTATGAGACGTTGATAAAGGTTATTCTGGTAAAAGATCAGACAAATATAAAAGCATTATGGCATAGGAAATAATTTGCTTTGAAAAAATTTTCTGTATATTTGACGTTAAAAAAAATTGTCATTTAGATCAACTGCAAGCTCTTTATATTCAACAAAACAACAGAATCCTGGATTGAAAGAGGCAGAGGAACTTTGAGACTGAATGACACAGCAAGCAGTGACTGTGGAACGTTACAGTCAAGACTAAGTAAGGAATCATTTTGTAAAGCAAGCCACGATTTCTTAGGGTTAAATTTCCTAAAATAGATACTATAATATTATTCCTAACATATTATATGAGCTTCTCATTTCAAGTAGGCTCTGCTGTTAGTCTGTATAAATTCTAGTTCTAGCTCCTGCACTGATTAACTGGTGACCCTGGACAGATTTCTTAACCTCATTCTGCCTGAGTTGCATCAATTTAATATGGGGGATGATTGTAGTTCATAGCTTACTGATTGTGAGACTTTAACAAGATAATGCATGTAAAACACGTCAAAGCCCAGCATGCACCTAAATAGTAATCTCATTCATATCTGAAAAAATATGATGTAAGGGCTTTAGTGAAGTGAAACATTTTTCTAAAAGAAAATGCTTGCCACATAATTTATCTTTGGCTTTCCAAACACGGTGTGGGGATCGGGATGAATAGTCAATTTCTAAGGATAAAAGGCATATTGAATCCTGCAGGCAGAGTGATGATCAGAAGCTTGAGCCAAACTGAAAGATATAAGAGGTTTGGCATCCAAAAAGACACAACAGGTATTGTTCAGATGCCCAAACTGACAGTGAACACAGGCAGCAGTTGGGTCAGCCAGGTAACAAGACTAACTGGTCAATTCTGAGAGACCAAAGCTTCTCAAAAGACCACAGGTAGAAATTGGATCCAGGTTTGTGGGTATTTTTTGAATCTTAGATATCAAGTTCTAAAAATGAATAAGGAATAAAATTAAAAGATCAGGAACAGTGTCTTCAGTTCTCTAACTGGAACACAGGTTTGTAAACAACCCAACCAAATAATGTTCCTAAGGCAGGTACTAGTTGTTCTTTACTCTGGTTTCATTCTACTGCCTGCCAACCCCCTCCAAACAAACAAAAACAACAAACAAAATCAAAAACAAACCCCTAAACAACTTTTCCTTTTATTATGCAGGTAATACACATTCATTGTAGAAAACAGAAAATATAGATCAATAAAAGAAAAATATAAAATAATTTAAAGACTCATCTTCCTGAGATAGCCTTTGTTAATAGAATATATTCTTCTGAAGTTTGTTATCTAGATACATAAATACATACATAGATTGTAAATTTGTGAATCATGTTTATTTTGCTTTGTAACATGATTTTTTTCTTTTACATAGTATAAAATGATCATTTTTTCACATCAATAAATATAGTTCAGCAGTATTCTTAATAGGTTTATAGCATTCACTTGAATGGCTGGACCATAATTTATTTAACTAATTTTACTTTTTGGACACATAAGATCTTTGTTTTAGTTTTCTTCATTACAGTGAGTGAAGAAATTACAATGAAGAAATGAACAATTCTTAGATAAATATTCTTCTGACCACTAGGTCTTAAAATAAATCCTAAAATTTTAATCAGTTTTAAATCCTGCTGTTAAAAAAATGTAATCCCAGCACTTAAGCTAAGAAAAAGTTCTCCAACATAATAAAGCCCAAATATAATTTTAAAAGCAATTTATAATCTAGTCAAATTACAATTTGCTAGTGAACTTATAGTCTGAAAACTTTGCTTTCAAAAACAGCTAATTCTCCTGGAAGGCTAAGGCATCAACATTTCTGTACCCTGATACATGTTTATCATGTTCCTATTTCAGTTATGCGCAATCAAGGCAGTCTGAGGCTGATACTCAACAGCAAACTGTGGGCTCAAATGAAGATTCAAAGAGCAAACCATAAAAATTTACGTATAACAGCTACTGACTTAGAAGACCATACCATCAAAGTATTTTTAATTCAGGTAAGTGAAAGGTTTCAGTGACAGATTATTATCCTACTATATTACTAGGTCTCTGCAATTACTAATTTGTTTTTTGAATTTTGTTTAAATCTGTACCATTGGCAAAAAAAATCAGCCATTCATTAGGGTTGTTTAAAGCCTCTGATTTAACATCATCTGATAGCCATTCCAAGACATTTTTATGGTCTGTGCATTCACATCTCTACCCTTTTCTTTTCTGTTGAACCTATGTCAATATTATTACTAAGTTACCAAAGTGGCTATTGTCAGAAATGGTTCCCAGAAGGAGGTCAGCAGAGTCTGAAGCCTGATACTTATCCTGCAAACTGAGATTGAGAAGGCTTCAGGATTACAGGAGAGGAACCAGTCAGAAATGGAAAAACACAGGGCTGGCAAGTTAAAACAGCCGGTCCAACAGCCAATTCTGATTCTGGACATGAGTAAATCTCCAAGGTAACAAGATGGGAGCACAGCTTTAGTTGTTCTAGGCAACAGGAATGCTCAAATTCAAATACATGATCCAGACTCAGGAGAGCTGGCAAGTATAAAGCCAACAAAACAAAACAAAATAAAACACACACGAAAAACAACCCCTCTCCCCACAAGTTTCCCCACAGGCTAAGACCCAGAACACTGCAGAAGGCTGAATACCCCGTGATTCAAACAGAGGTGACAATGCAATTAATTTGGCTTCCTTATGGTAATGGAAAAAAATGTTGGTTAAGTGCCCAGTGATGAATAACAAGAGGTTTTGTTAATTAGCAGCAAGTGCACTGTTAGGTATCTAAGTGGTATGGAGTACTAAAATGTTAGGGTAAGATGCAAACTCTGTTTACCATTTTTAGGGACATGATGCCATCAGGCCAGATCCTCCCTGGTTTTAGGTGGGTAAAGCAGCCAGCCAGAGACTGAAATTGTGAACCGTGATTTAGATTCTGGTGCTTAACACTTGACTCATGCTGACTTTTTAAATAGTAGTAGACTTAGAAATAAGCAAACCAAATGCAATAAAAATCACTGAAAACTCCATCCTCAGAGATGGTCACTGTTAACATTTCGATCTTAAATTTTAGTACATCGTGCTTCTGTGTATATGTATATATAAATGTATGATCTTTACGCGAGTTAACTAGCCTTCCTTAAACTGATTTTACTCATCCGCAAAATAATGGTAGCAATAACACACTTTAAAAGGCTGTTGAGATTAAAGAGCTATTATGATTGTGAAATATTACATACATGTAATTTAACTTATCAATGCAAATGAATACTATGACATTAATAGTCACTTATTCTTCAGAATGTATTTTAGTAGGTAAAAGAATTCTATTATGGACTGTAATTTATTCCATTAATCCTACTGAGCTGAATGACAAAAATCTGAGATTCGAATTCCATCCAAGATGCTGACTTGCAACTCAGAGAAGTCATTTTACCTTTGTGAGCCATAATTTCCTCTTTTATAAAAGGAAGAGGGGAACGAGTATATATTGGATACTTGTGCTAACTACTTTTGCTAATATAAATGAAATTAATAGTCAACCTACAGTTTTAAGGATTGAACTGAAAAATAGTGTTCTAAGAGTAAATGTTGTATCAATGTCATTGTAACCAGCATTTTTGTATTAACAGCAACCATAAAAATAGCATGGAAAAGTATTGGAAAGTAAGAATTTTTGATGTGTTTATGATACAATTTCGTGGACTGCTCTTCTCCACAAGGCTATGTGGTTCAGAAAAATGTCTAAACGAAGTGACGGAAAGTAAATGGAAGTCTTTTCTTCTTCCCAGCCCTATGATTTTTCATAATGTAAAATAATGGAGGAAGGGATGTTCTTAACAGACTTAAATTCAAATAGAAATTTTAAATCACAGAATTTCATTTTTTGAATGTAAAATGTACAAATGGGTCCTCATGAAATCATACACTTTAGGATGCTATTTGGCTCAATATTAATTGGTTTTTTACCCTCTAACTTTTAGGGTTGTTCACACTTACTTACATTCTAGATTTATGCCATTTACTTCCTTCCTTAGAGATAGTGAAAGATTAAAACTCTGTAAATGTGGCTAACATTACTAAGTTATTCCTTCTTAATTTTTCTCATGCAGGCCAGTGCCAAAGATGCAGGGTGTCTGTACGCAGCAATACATCATCGTCTTGTTGCACTTCAAAGCTTCGATAAGCGAAAAGATCTCAGTCAAGCTGAGAGCCAGTCAGAAACAGTCCAACAATTAAACTGCGATAGCTGTGATGAGGATGAAGATGATTTCACCCAAGTCACTAAAAATGAATCAGGTAAATAGCTTTTGTTTTGTTAGATCAGAGTTTTAAAAAAGAAATCTTGGCTGGGTGCAGTGGACCACACCTGTAATCTTAGCACTCCCATTGTTTAAGCTTAGAGACCAGCCTGAGCAAGAGAGAGATTCGTCTCTACTAAAAATAGAAAAACTAGCCTGGTGTTGTGGCAGTCGCCTATAGCCCCAACTACTTGAGAGGCTGAGGCAAGAGGATTGCTTGAGCCCAGTTGGAGGTTGCTGTAAGCTAGGCCATCATGGCACTGTACCCAAGGTGACCCCCCCCAAAAAAAAACTCAACACAATTTTAATATAAAACAGGTTTTTAAAAAGTAGAATTGATCTGTTCAAAGTGGGTAGTGGTTAGAGCCCTGGCTTTTTGGATCTGAGGAATGGGGTTTGACTATCACTGTTCCTGTAACTGGTCTTCATTAGGATTCATTCAGTGTTTGTACTGACAGGTGGATTTAACACTAACTCATCATTCCTTTTGGAGAAAATCAATGTCAAAAATAGTAAACCCAACTTTGTTATATAGATGAGGCTATCCTAATAAAGTCATCCAAGTATTTTCAGTGATTGTTTCACTTGGTGCTAAATTTTGCATTACAGTTTCAAAGATAGCATAGTAACAAACATCTTTTCATCATTTTGAAATCTTAAACCTGCTTTAGTCATACTTGATTTAAGAATCTATCAAAGAACATTTGTATCACTTTTTAGTTGCATAATCAGAAGGAAAAATGTACAAAACATGCAGATCAATCTCATAACCTGCATGACTAAGCCAGAAAACTAAGTGAATATAACTGAATAAGATTTTTCATACTACTTTAAACAAGTCTACTAAAAATGGTCCATGACTCTTTAAAATTTGTAAAATGAATAAATAAAATTATATTTTATATTATTATGATATTTATATTGTAAACAATAAAAACGGGTCTATTAGAAAATTCTTTGGCATTCATTCAAAACATCATTTTGAAGTAAGGATTAAACAGCAAATTCACCAACTAATGACATATATTTGTGAAATCTATATTCTATTTTATTCCATTTTAGGAGGGGAGGGATATACAACTATCTTAATGCAAAACAATGGCAATAAAGCAAAGTGAATGCCAATCAGCTGAACCCCCTTTTCCTTGCCATCTCCCCCCTTTACATTTAGTATCTTCTTCAGGATCTATTGCAAACAAAGGCTAAAATGTTATGGAAGCAATAAAAAGTCTAATTTTTTGGACTTTATTGTCCATAAATTTAAAAAGGCTTAATTATCTAAAAAGAGGTTATGTTAAAATTATTAGCTGTATTTCCAAATGTTACTTGTAAAAATGTAGATTCTGTGTCTTTCATTTCCTTACCAATAAGCATATTATTCATGGGTATTTATGTTCAATTACATTTAATAGTAAATCTAGTTAAATATAATATTGTATATAAAATATTTTTAATTTATATCACAGATCCTTCTAGGTGGACGTACAGACAGTCGGTTGCCTGTTCATGAGCACGACCTACTATAAACGTGACAACATCTACAAAAGGATTGGTCACCCTATTGAAAAACACTAAACCCTTCTAACTAATTGAGAAGATCTGTTCATTCCCTGGAAAGTTTAGGAATTATAACTTGTTGCAATTCAAATTTTCTTATGTTTTACATTTTGATTATAATGGAGAACAGTAACAGAATTTAACAAATAAATGGACTTCAGAAGTTCAAAATTTGTCATTTTTAAAGAAGTTAATTTTGAATAGAATTTGATAGCTAATTTGACTATTCATCACATTGATGGATATAATACTTAAAATCATAGATTGCTAGATTTGATAAACATCTAACAAAAATGTTTACTTTTTTTAGTCACACATTGGCCATAGAACAAATATTTTACTAAATGTTCAGAATCATTTCTTTAAAAAACACTATAATTGCATAATAACACTTCATTAAATCGTGTTTATCCTCCAGGAAATGTATATTTTCATTTAACCTTTGGATTTCTTAGTATATAAGCTTATCTATTCACAATATGAATTCCTTTAGAAAGAGTATCTATTCTTGGACTTGTATTTATTTTATCGGGTATGTGCTTGACTTACGGTCAGTATCCAATAGTTGTTGAATAAAGGAACAAAATGTAATATATTACCTCTGTATCAAAATGCCAAATATGTTAACTTCCTGTTCTTTGCTTTATGTAATTAAATTGTCATTGATATTCTAGTGTGGCCTTTCTTAAACACATGTACCATATATAGCCAAATGAGTCTTTTTCTTAAATGCCATTATAGTAGAATTTAGTAATTTCCACAACTGTGCAACCTAGTTTTGATGCTATTCTTTGACATTTGTTTCAGAGATACTTCATGAAAGTATACTTTCTTTTATACAAGAAAACAGCCATATTTCATTTTTCATTTCACTTTGATGACCCCATGGTTTCAAAGTGAATCTTGTGACCCTTAAACAATTCCCCTAGTAGGAGATAAAAACACACAATTAGAAAATGAAATGTTCTGAACAAAGACAGCACATTTGGAATAGGTATTACTTCACAAAGTGCTACTCTGAAGAACAATATTTGTTTGGAAATATATATGTGAATATATTTTTAAAAGTTGTATTGTTACCACAGTGTCTTTTATATAATAGATATCTAACTTCTATATATGCATTTATTAAGTCGAACCTCACTAATCCTTAAAGTTTAGTTTACTACATGAAAGTTGACTTAAATTTTTAGATTATGATTTAGTTTATTGTTCAGTGTTGCTTTTTCCTTATACTAGGTAACTATTGACAGTATGAATTGGCTAGTAAGAGAGGTCCATTTATTCTTCCAGTGACTATAGAAGGAATACGGTATGTAACCTCCTTTACTTTTAACTTAAGTAGTCACTCAGAAAATACTGAGGAAAAAAAAGTTAATGTGAGTGAGGAAAAGAGAAAAGGTAGAGAGAAGAATAAAATGAGCTTTAGCATGAAGGAAAACAGAGATTCTTTTCTTACTTTTTTGGATCTAGAAGAGTGACTCTGACATAGAACATGCTCAGTGGAAAATTTTCAGTAGAAGCGTAATATAAACAAGGAGACATTTGGAGAAGATATTAAAGCATTGGTTCTCTTTTATTGTAAGATCTTAACTGATGTAGAAACACTGTGATTGCATGATAATTTTTTTCAGGGGACTTAATATTTTATTCTTTATTACCTTAAAGCACCTATGAAAACAGAGATTTTTATCTTCCTCTCCTGTTCATTCTTGTCCCCACGCTAGGGTGAAGATGAAGCAATGTATGTCAGTGCCCCAAACATTTTAATATGTAGTATAAATGGACTTCATTCTTTCTATGATTTTCTTTGGATTTCTCTTCATATGTCAATGCATAAAGTACCTTAATTTATGATCTATATGGAAATGCCAGTGCAACAGAGCCAGAAATAGAGTTAGAAAATCAGGAAGGAAAGAGAAAGAGTAAAAATTTCTGGATTGTGAAAAGGATATGAAGAGCAAAAATGGGACATTTAGCTCATGGCACTTTCTCTTTAATTTTTATGCAAATATTTAATGCTATTTTGGAGGGATGGCAGAAATAGAAATATTTTATAGTTTTTCCTTATCCTATATCTTCATCTAGTCTTTTCCTTTTTGGCTTTCTGTCTTTTGCCCACAATTGATATGAAGAGATCAATTGTACAACAAAATTCATTCTCATAAGTCATTTAGGTAGATGATTTCAAAGTATATATTTTGGATTTCTATAGAAGCAGTTTTTATTAAAATTTACTTAACTATCTAATATTTTACCTAATTGTATATCTTTTATTAAGATAAACTAAACATTCTCTTTCAATAGGATTTCACCCAACTGATTACCTTAATTGTGGAATATTAAAATGTTCTCTTAAAAAAATATTTTATATCCATTACTGCCAAAAAAGGATCCTCAGTCCCCAGTGGAATACATCTTATACAGATCTTATAGTGTACATGAATGTCATAAAAAGAGGGATATACCTATATATTTTCTTTCACAGAGACAGAATGTACATGAAAGTGAGGTGGAAAGAGTTCTGCAGATTGGAAAGGATGTATCTTAAGACCTCTGTAATGTATGCCTGTAATCCCAGGATCGCCTGAGCTCATGAGTTTGAGACCAGCCTGAGCTAGAGTGAGACCCTGTCTCTTAAAAATGTACACGAAAGTGGGGTGGAGAGAGTTCTGCAGATTGGAAAGAAATGTACATGAAAGTGGGGTGGAGGATTGCCTGAGCTCATGAGTTTGAGACCAGCCTGAGCTAGAGTGAGACCCTGTCTCTAAAAATGTACACCAAAGTGGGGTGGAGAGAGTTCTGCAGACTGGAAAGAAAATGTACACCAAAGTGGGGTGGAGAGAGTTCTGCGGATTGGAAAGGATACATCTTAAGACCTCTGTAATATATGCCTGTAATCCCAGGATCCCCTGAGCTCATGAGTTTAAGACCAGCCTGAGCTAGAGTGAAACCCTGTCTCTAAAAATAGCTGGGCCACAGGGCATTGTGACAGGTGCCTGTAGTCCCAGCTACTTGGGGGGCTGAGGCAAGAGAATCATTTGAGCCCAAGAGTTAGAGGTTGCTGTGAGCTGTGATGCCAGAACTCTTTACTGGGGGTGACAAAGTGAGACTCTGTCTAAAAAACAAACAAACAAACAAAAAACCACTATAAATTTTCAAATTGTGACTATCACCGTGATGTATAATTTTCCTCATAAAATGTTGATAACAGTAAAGCTTGTTTGAGGCTATGATCTGGTTGGCTAGCTAGGCTCAGTCACTAGAAAAGCACACCAGCCCCACCAAAGATGGGTTTTGAAATTCTGTAACCCTACAGATTTTTTTAGTTATTTGAGAATAGCTAAAACTGATATTAATCCATGAATACCAGAAGTTTTATCTGGTTTTCTTTTTTTTTGGCAGTATTCATCTAATAACCATACTACTGGTTAATTTTTAAGACATCAGACTTAGAGTTGAAAAACTTAAATACATAAACATATTTCAAATTTCTTTTGAAAAAACATATTTGTATTTGCCTTGGAGCAACTACTGAAATGAATGGCATCTGTTTAGTTTAATAAAAACTTGATGAAATGGATAGACGTTTTCTAACAATTAGAGTATTACCAAGATTTCTTAAGTTCTACCAGTCTAGTGGATATAAAATATTCTTTCAGTATGACCTTAATTTGTATTTTCTGATTTTTAATAAGGTTACCTTTTTAGGTATTTATTCATTGCTGTGTTTCTTCTAAAAAAAATCTTGTTCATGATTTCTGGAAAACTAACTGGGTCATTTTCCCTCACAGCTTCTCCCCACTCATTTTTCCCCATTAAATTAAGCAAATAACAGTCTCTCATTCACTTAAGCTTCAAATTTCAGTATCATCTGTGACTTTCCCCTTTTCTTTCTTCCTAATATCTAATGACTTATGAAGTTTAGAATAGCAAGAATACAAAGAAGTCTGAGGATGTCCAGGTCCTAGATAAGTTACTCAACCTCCCAAAAAGTTTAGGTTACTTAAGGTTATTATGTTACTATTAGCAGCTACTGAGAGGCAAAGTTCTGACTCAGAAGGGGTGGGTTACAGAACGTTTAGAAGTAAGCTAAATGCCTATCAGACTCATATGTGTATATCCCCCAGTCTAATGCACTACTTGACACACAATAGGCCTTCAATAAATAGAATAAACCTATGAATGAATGCCCATGCTGGTGGCTAGCTGAGAAGAGTCACAGATTCACTGAATTAATTTGGGCTTGGAAAAGGACACTAGTTGGAATCACTTTAGTTCAGCCTTGCATTTTGCAGATGAGAAATCTGAGGCCCAGAAAGATGACATAACCTGCCCAAAGTCCAGAAGCTTGCTGGTGCTGCCAGGGCTACAAAGGAGCCAGGAGTGTGCCAAAGCAAGAAGACCTCTGGAAAAGAAGGAATTATAAACCAGGGTGTGCACTGCCATTTGATTCTCCCCTTATAATAGTTGTTTCTCCTACTCCCATCACTACTACTCTAGCCCGAGTCCTTATCACTTCCCGTGTAATTATTCTAAGAGCCTCTCCGTTTCCCTTCCTACTCTTGTTTCCTAATCTACTCAACATTCCAAAGCCAGATCAATAGTTGCCAAACATTGCTTCAACCCACTCCTTTCTGGTTAAAAGCCTTCAAAGAACTGCTGACCATAAGGATAAAGTCCAATTTACCAACATTCTTAGCCCTTTCAATTTTGTCCTATGCAGTTTTTCAACCTTTATCTTCCAATCTAGAAATGCCAAACTCCTCTGCCCATTATACTCAGAGTTCCCCAATGGCTGTGCCTTTCTCCCTCCTGCCTGATGGCTCTTCGGTGGTCAGCAGGGTGGGCACAGGGTGCCATGCTTAGAGGACCCTGTGCTCGGCTTAATGCTCTGCGTCTGTCTTGATGTTCTTAAGACTTCTGAACAAGGGGCTTGGCATCTTCACTTAGCACTTGGCCCCACAAAATTATGCGGTCGGTTTAATCCAGCGATGGACACACCACCTATCCAACAGACATTGGTTAAATGCACGAAGAACAGGCATGTGGTCTAGTTTTAGAGAGGGTAACGAAAAAGATCAGAACCCAAGCGAAAAAGTGCCCGACATCTGCCTTCCCGCCAGTCCCTCAAAACCCCGCCCACTGCCCCTGCGCCGCCTCAGACCGGTTCCAGCAGGATTCCTCAGTGCAGCTCCAACGCCAAATAGGATTTCAGCCCTTTCCCCGGGCCACAGCCAATCCTCGCAGCCCCTCGGGCTCCGAAACTGCAGCGGGCTCCAATTGGCTGACACGGTTAGCCTGGGGCGGGACGAAGGGCAACAGCAGGGAAGGGGCTGGAGCAGGAGGTGGGCTCTGGGGCGGTGAAGCGGCCATTGCGCAGGTGTAAATGGAACAAATAAACAAACAAACAAACCCCACCAGCCCTAGGCCTCCATTTCTGCCCCGCCCACTTTTGCTTGGCGTGGAGTCTCCAGCCTTCCAATCGCTATGCTTTCCCCGCCCTCATCAACGTCTGGGAACGTCCCCCTAGCGGCGCGGGCCACGCACGTCTCCGCACTTAACCTCTGCTCGCCGGGCGCGAAGTTAGAGGCCGGGCAGGGGCGGGCGGCGCGCACTCTGGGCGGCGGGAAGAGGAGGCGGGAGCCGAAGCCTGCAGCCGCGGCCCGGCAGACGATGACTTGCTACCGAGGCTTTCTGCTGGGCAGCTGTCGTCGCGTGGCGGGCGGCGGGGCTGCGGCGCTGAGGGGGCCGGGCGCTGGAGGCCCTGCCGCGCGGCCACGGCTCGGCGGTGACTGCGGCGGCCAGCGGCACCTGGGGCAGGGGCAGCCGCGCGAGCTGGCGGGCTGTGGCAGCCGCCCCGACGGCGGCTTCCGCCCCTCCCGGGTGGTGGTGGTAGCCAAAACCACCCGCTACGAGTTCGAGCAGCAGCGGTACCGCTACGCGGAGCTCTCGGAGGAGGACCTGAAGCAGCTGGTGGGTCCCCGAGGCCCCCCGCCGTTGTGTCTTGGCTCGGCCAGAGCTTTAGGGGCGGTTGCACCCCCTCAGCGAGACCTCTCGGGATGACTTTCCTTCCCCCGGCACCCCAGATGTCCCACCTGTCTCTCTAGCTGCCCCCTACTTCCTCTGGGTTTCCCCCGCCCTGCTTCTGTTTGTGTGTGTTTGTGTGTGTGAGAGGGAGAGGGTCAGTATTAGTTGAGACCTCCGGGACAGCGGCGCCCCGTTGCTGGGGGAGGAAGGGTTGCTTAGTGGAGTGGCCCCATAGTGTGAGAGGGTCTTGGGGATTCAGTTGTGCCTTGTTCCCTGGTCATCCCCACCCCCTTGTTTTGACATACCCGAAGAAAGTGGGCCAATAGCCGGAGATCTAGACGCGCTGGAGAGGGATCTCCGGGGCGCTTCTGAGGGTTAAAAGAAAGAGGGCGAAGATAACCGCGGACACACCCCCTTTTACTCTGAGGGGCCCCAAGGCCTGGGACAGTCCGGAAAGCCCTTCAGGGCGAGCCTTTTCCAGCTGGAACGTGGTCGTCAGACAAGGTTCTAGCAGTTTGTTTTTCAAAGCACACGTGTCTGAGAAAGGCAAGGGAGAAAATTTGACTTGAATGTATGTTACTAAGTAGAAATAATAGGCATAAATACCGGCTTTACGTATGAAATAAAAAGCCTACATCTCTAATATAGCATTACCGCCATAATAGACTATATTTGGTATATTTATCAATATCTTTGCTAATTATATAAATCCAAGAAGAAAAACTGAGTTTGATCTTCTTCTCTGCCCCCTTTTTAAAATTTCTGATCCCATTTCTCCACCCACCAACTTCAGGAAAAAGATATTCGCTAATGGTAACATGAGAACTATCTCTAGAAAAATCTGTATTGTAAATATCTAATTGTTGGCACTGTGGACCAGAAGGCTTTGGAATTACTTGCGTAAACGTAAACTGTAATCTAGTTTAATTCTGTGCAAGAGTAGACAGCCTGTTCTAAACATCTGATATCCTGTGTAATCTTCAGGATATGTGTTATTGTGTTATTGTGTAGAGCCATCACGATGAAGTTGTAAATCATCTTTGCTTAAGTACGGAATCTTTGTCAACATTAAACATCTTACTGCTTTGATGGGTTAATTGAAAAAAGCACGACATTCACCGGATGGGAGTCTAGATGCAGATTTGTTGTCTCTGTTTTTCCTAAGTGTTTGAAGGTAGCAGCTTTTAGAAACCACTGTGCCATTTAAATAATCATCAGTTTGAACAGAACATTAGGATAGTTGAGTTTATGTTAGAGAGAAACTGGGGATGAGGCAAGGAATAGTAATGTCAGAAAAAGTACTTTGTTTCTATTTTGGGGAGGGAATAGTAATGTCAGAAAAAGTACATTGTTTCTATTTGGGGGAGGGATGTATCCTTTAGGTTGTACTAAAAATTTTGCAAGGTCTAGCTTTTGGAATTTGTCAAATGCCATATGTGCACAAATGTGTTCTTCATACAATTTTATTGATATTGAAGCCTCCCACCGCAATTTAAAATAGTACACTCAGTTGGCATGTTCATAGTGTGAGATTGGGGGCTGAGAAGCTTGGAATTCTAGGCTCTGATTCTGTGTGGTTAACATTATATGTTTTTAACTCCTTGGGCCTCATGGGTGAAAATGATACTTTTTGCATAGTATTGTCAGTTTTCAAAGTGCATTCACATGGTTAAGTATATGAAATGTTAGGGTTGTATCAGATAGCCTCCAAGGTCCTTTCTAATGCCAGGATCTTGAAACTCACAGACTTCCTCAAGGCCTCAAGAAAATGAGTGGCATCTCGGTTAGAATTAACTCTTGGACCCCTGAACTAGGGCCCTAATAAAAAAACTTTTAAAATGTAGGCAAAACGAGTAAGTCTTTAAAAATCAAACTACCTAGTGTACTCACTCTGAATGAAGAAATCTCTAATAGGCAAATATTTGTCTATTGCTAGGTAGTGCTGTTGGGGATAAGAGAGCTTTGAAGTAAAACTCCTGAACTTAGAGTACAGTTTTGTAATGCCAGGTAGTGGGATAGTTTTTGTTGATGTCATTTCAGTTTTATTGGATTGATTTCTTACTGATTTGTACTTGTATTATGATTTATATTATAGGATTGTTAAGATGATTAATAATTGTTTGCTATATTGCTGGGGTAAAATATACTATGGTGTATAAATTGTGTGAATTGGACATGAAAGAAAGTGGTCACGTGCTCCTGTGAATCTTCACCATGGTTGCTCTGTCTGTAGTGTCATGGTAACTCAGTCTTCTATCAAAGCATTTATTTTGGTGGTGGTTGCTGTTTTTGATGCAAAATATGTCCCTGTTATTTATTAAAATGCATATAGAAAATGAAGGATGGAAAGCCAGTATAATCTTATACCCTGAAGTCTCATGGTTTTCTAACTTTGTAGAAACATAAATAATTGGAGGAAACAGTTTTAGTTGATTAAGCGTGTACAAAATAGGTTTACATTTTTCAAGCTAGGTTAAAGTTTTTATTTTTAGTTACTCTCTTCAATTGGTTACGTTGCTTTGTTTTTAAATCTTATCTTTCCCTCTACTGATTGACCAATGACTTGTCTTATGAATATGGGATTTGTCGTCAAACATTTTACTTCTACTGTCTGATGACCTTGCAAAGGCTAGTACAACTATTATTACAGTTTACTTGCACCGTAAGAGATGTAGCAGTTAGCAGATGTGGAACTTTTGTTAATCAGGGTCCCTGAGACTCACAAATTAGAATTTTAGATGAAATAAAACTGATTTGGAAAGGATTTGGACACCAGGAACATGCCTTGTTAGTTTTACACAAAGGTTTTATTTGAAATTTTTAAAATATATACCAAATTTGAATCCTTAATTTCTGTCTTCCTCTCATCCAAAATCTTACAACCTCAGAGGCAGACCTTTTTAATGGTTCCCATTTTTTAGTCTTTTTTAAAAATTCAGAATGAGAGAGAATAGTTTGATTAGAATAGAGAATAGTCTGCTCTATTATTGGATTGCCTTTATTAGGAAGTATAGTGCTTAGGAGTTTGTCCTTACATTATTTCCTGAAAAAGAAGGTATGGCTTAGGCTGTAGCTCCTGGGCAGATACTTTTGGCATATGGTGTGCAATATGATTTATCAAATATAAGCACATAATCCGGAATACTGCCAGAGCCCTCTAACTGAACCTTGCTCTTTAAAAATCTTCCAGACACAGGCATCAGAGTGGTTTATCTAAAGTGGACATCTGGCCATTTCATTCCTTTGCTTAGAACTCCTCAGAAGCTCCCCATAAGCTTTTGTCACCTTCCACTTGTTAAAATGCAGATGCTTGAACCTTAGCACCCAAGATTCTGATTCAGTTTGTGGAGAATACACAGACTTTGCTTTTCTGAACATACTTTTAACGTTTCTGACTCTGGCTGAATTAGAGAGATCTGCAGTTTTTACCCAGTCCCCAGATCACACTTGGAGAAACTCTCATAATAGACTAAGGTTCCTGATCCTTAGTATGCTGAATAAGTTCCTTCATGAACTGGGGCTCCTTTGCACCTCTTGAGCTTCATTTCTGATCATTTCTTGTCTTGAACTTCTTATTCTGGGAATTTCAAGTCGCTTTTATTATAATTAAATGTTGTGCTGATTTAATTTGACTAATTTTGGATTAGTAGCACATTAAAATTGTTCGAAATAGCAGAGACAAAGAATTACACAATGAAAAATCTTTCTCTTATTAATGTCACCTATAATTCTGTTTTTAATCCCTGGAAGTAACTAATGTTTTTAGTTTCTTGTGTTTCCTTCCAGAAGTAAGCAATACATACCAATCAACACAGTGAAATATTCTTTTTTTTTTTTTGTCTCATCCCTTTTTATTTAATTATAACATATTGTGTAAGCTATTCTGCATCTTTTAAAAAAACTTTTAGGTGTTTTTTTAATCTTAATATTTTTATTTCAAAATATGTCACATGTACAGGAAAAGTTGGAGAATAGTATAATAAATATATGTGGACCTGCTATATTTGCCATTTTTTTTTTTGCTTCACATCTTCTTAAACAAAACAATAAAAATACAAAGTTCCTTATGTATTCCTCCCCATCTCACTCCCTCCGTTCCTCCTCAGACATTAACCACTATCATTAAATACATATCATCTCTATGAATATTTTTATACTTTTGTAATATATGTAGTTATCTACAAACAACAGATTTTTTTTATTTTTAAGCATATGACATCATACTCTACATACTCTGCGTCTTTTTTTAACTTAACATTATTTGTGGAGATTGCCAAAAAGCATTTTCATATTTTTCTTTGATAGTATATGCATTATTCCATTGTGTGCCTTAATTTATTTGATGCCTTCTACTATTAAATATTTCTGAAATGAATACTATCTGCCTTCATATGTGTGTAAATAAAGCCCTAAAATAAATACTTAAAAGTGTAATCACTGAGTCAAAAAGGCATGTGCATATGAAATTTTAACAGGTTTTGCTAAATTGCCTCCCTTAAAGGTTGTACAAATTTTAACTTTCACCAGCTGAGTATGAGGGTACTTGTTTTCCTCAAATTTGGGGGGAAATGGCTGGGTGCCAGTAGCTCAGTGGTTAGGGCACCAGCCACACACACCGGAGCTGGTGGGTTCAAATCCAGCCCCTGCCTGCCGAACTACAGTGACAACTACAACCAAAAAATAGCTGGGTGTTGTGGTGTGCACCTGTAGTCCCAGCTACTCAGAAGGCTGAAGCAAGAGAATTGCTTAAGCCCAAGTGTTTGAGGTGGCTGTGAGCTGTGATGTCATGGTACTCTACCCAGGGCAACAGCTTGAGATTCTGTCTAAAAAGAAAGAAAAAAAAAAAAAGAAAATGGGGAGAAAAAATAGTATTCCAGGGTGGTTAAACTGACCTCTCTCTTTACTTTCACAGCCCCTTATGCTTTGAATGTTCTCCATCCTGTTTG